TTTTAAGACTAGAAGTTGACAAATAGATCACATGTTTAAATGAAAATTCAAAATAAGTAACATGAACTTTGACAGGCACCAGGGAAATCTACGCTGAAGATAAGAAGATAGTTTGGGGAAGTATGCGGAAATTCGTGGAATGTTGCCACGCTATGTGAGAATGCGTGAGTTTGTATAGTGTTGCCACTTTGTGTCAATGAAAGATGCGCCTTGAACGAGCTGGCAACCCTGTTCAGCATAATTAAATTCATGGAGCGTAGCTGGACTTTAGTAAATGTTGAACTTAAGCAGTCAGAACTGTGTTTGACATTGCAGACGGTATCTAAAATAGACTTTTAAATTGCATTCCTCAATTCTCGGAATGCAATTCTCCCAACGCAAACACATACACACACACAAATTTAACCTCTTGTTAGGCTTCTGCCAGTTGATGCTGCAATCAGCGCAATATGCCACAAAGCAAGCGTGGAAAGCCAGTCCAGAAATAGAAATGGGAAGAAAGAGAGGTAGGTAGGCAGAAGAAGAGAGAGAGGGGGGGGGGGGAGGGGATAGCCAGTTTATATTTGCTGGCCCGATAGCTGGGCGAACGAACACACAAACTGTGTCAAAGCAATGCGATGTGGCAACATGTGGCCACAGAGTGTGGCACACAGCCACATTGCCACAAACGGTGAGTCGAGCGAACGTTGCATTCTGTGTCTTTTGTGTGGCTCTGATGCCGGATCCTGGGCGCGCTGCCAAAGTGCCTGCGGTTATGCGCCAGTGTTTTGGCTGGCCAGCATCAAGGCTGCAACGTAGCGTGCCACATGCGGGGGCAGCAGCAGCTGCAGGTGCTGCTGGCAAGCTCAGGCACAGAAACTCAGAAACTCAGAAACTGAAACGAGCCGCATTAACGCCGCCTTTAAAATTTATGATATTTACTCGAGCAGACGCTGAGGCCAACGAGTTGGGCATTTTACTTAGCTGCACGGGATGTCAGATGTGCTGCATGGTGCAGGGGTGTGTGTGTGTGTGTGGAGAGGGGGGGGGTGTAGACTATTGTGGACACGTGCCAGCCAGGCCGCCAAGGCTTCTGCTGGCTGCTTTGGCTATGCATTTTTTATGGCCGCTCATCAAAGCATACTGAAGAGACGCCAACAACTTGGCAATCAGAGCAGCTGCCACGGCCAGGCCAATGAGTAGCTGCCCCAACGAATCAACGGTGACTCATCGGGCTTGTCAAGGCAATCGACAGGACGTTGCAAATGCTCTGTAATTAGTGTTAATTATATTTTCTTCTTGGAACAAATTGTTTCGTGTCTTTTATTTAATGAATCGAAGCTGGCTTAAAAATATACGAGAAGCTAACCCTGTGCAGAGTTATGTTGGGCAAAATATATTAAGGGTAAAAACTAAGTATATATGGACTCTATATTGTGTTTACAAAAACTAAGTATATGGACTCTATATAGCATAGTATATACAGATTTATGATACTTTACTGAACTGTATTCTGTGAAGAACTCAGGCCATGATTTGACTTTTACATTAATTTATGTCACTTTTGAATTCGGAATACTAATTTTGCTTACATATTATGGTAAATGTTTCCCTTATATGAAACCATTCCGAACTTTATGTACGCATATATAAAATACAAATTTAAGTAATTTATCTCTTTTACTTTCACAATTTGTGGAATTTCTAGCCGCTTTTCCCCTCTAGCTTCTCGCTTTTTTCAGCTTTCCTAGCTGACTTTTCTTAAGATCTCAAGTTCCTTTTTCCTCCCGTATCTTTTGCTGCATTTGCTCGCTATATTTAGCTCTGAGCTGCGCATAGTTTTTGCCTACCTCAATCTAAACATTTTGCTCGCAATGTTTATTCTGCATATCCTTCGGATCTGCTGCATAGTTCATGGGGGGCGCGCACAGATTGCCAGCTGCAGCAGCAAGTGGCAAGTTGAGTGCGGCTGCGAGGGGGGGGCGGTGGTGTGGCATATTATGCACACTAACCAACTGCCTTTATTCACTATGATTGGCCCTTTCAATTTCAAAGCAATGCCCCAAAGGCCACAGCAGCAGCAGCAGTAGTGGAAGCAGCTGCAACCTCCACAACAGCCTCCGCACATTAATTTGGATGGCAAAGGAAAACTTTAACGCATAGCTGAAATGGAAAACCCGCTTGGATGCCGCACTTTGTGTTAGTTGTTAGCTCAGTGCCGCGCTGCCCGTTCACCTGTCAACACCTGAGCTCCTTGGCTGCTGCCTTTTTACGCCTTTCGAGTAGCTTTGGCAAATTTTATTTTTACATTTTTTTTTTGTTTTAGTAATTTTCTTAAGTGTTTGCCCCGTGAGACGTCTTCGTGGACGTCTGTGCAAGTGAACAAAATTATTAGCAGCATGTTCTGTCGTCGCTGCTGGATTGATTTTACCGCCGGTGAGGATTACGTGGTGTGCGCCGGTCCCTGTGCCTGGCCCTATCACGCCACCTGCGCGGCTGTCCCACGGGAACTGGCGCGTGAGTTACGGCGCAACAGCGCCAACAACTTTGCCAACAATTTCGCCAGATCCGCGGGCGCCGGCATCGAAGCCAGCTCCGGCTCCGGTTCTAGCACTAGCTCCGGCTTCGGCTCTGGCATGGAATGGTATTGCCGCAATTGTCGTCAACTTTATCGCCTGCAATTGTACTTTGAGGTAGCTACAAGTGAAACCTGCTCATGTCCCATCTAGCAGAAATCGCTGGTAGATACAGATACAGATACAGATACAGATACAGATACAGATACAGATACAGATACAGATACAGATACAGATACAGATACAGATACAGATACAGATACAGATACAGATACAGATACAGATACAGATACAGATAGATACAGATACAGATACAGATACAGATACAGATACAGATACAGATACAGATACAGATACAGATACAGATACAGATACAGATACAGATACAGATACAGATACAGATACAGATACAGATACAGATACAGATACAGATACAGATACAGATACAGATACAGATACAGATACAGATACAGATACAGATACAGATACAGATACAGATACAGATACAGATACAGATACAGATACAGATACAGATACAGATACAGATACAGATACAGATACAGATACAGATACAGATACAGATACAGATACAGATACAGATACAGATACAGATACAGATACAGATACAGATACAGATACAGATACAGATACAGATACAGATACAGATACAGATACAGATACAGATACGATACAGATACAGATACAGATACAGATACAGATACAGATACAGATACAGATACAGATACAGATACAGATACAGATACAGATACAGATACAGATACAGATACAGATACAGATACAGATACAGATACAGATACAGATACAGATACAGATACAGATACAGATACAGATACAGATACAGATACAGATACAGAACAGATACAGATACAGATACAGATACAGATACAGATACAGATACAGATACAGATACAGATACAGATACAGATACAGATACAGACAGATACAGATACAGATACAGATACAGATACAGATACAGATACAGATACAGATACAGATACAGATACAGATACAGATACAGATACAGATACAGATACAGATACAGATACAGATACAGATACAGATACAGATACAGATACAGATACAGATACAGATACAGATACAGATACAGATACAGATACAGATACAGATACAGATACAGATACAGATACAGATACAGATACAGATACAGATACAGATACAGATACAGATACAGATACAGATACAGATACAGATACAGATACAGATACAGATACAGATACAGTACAGATACAGATACAGATACAGATACAGATACAGATACAGATACAGATACAGATACAGATACAGATACAGATACAGATACAGATACAGATACAGATACAGATACAGATACAGATACAGATACAGATACAGATACAGATACAGATACAGATACAGATACAGATACAGATACAGATACAGATACAGATACAGATACAGATACAGATACAGATACAGATACAGATACAGATACAGATACAGATACAGATACAGATACAGATACAGATACAGATACAGATACAGATACAGATACAGATACAGATACAGATACAGATACAGATACAGATAAGATACAGATACAGATACAGATACAGATACAGATACAGATACAGATACAGATACAGATACAGATACAGATACAGATACAGATACAGATACAGATACAGATACAGATACAGATACAGATACAGATACAGATACAGATACAGATACAGATACAGATACAGATACAGATACAGATACAGATACAGATACAGATACAGATACAGATACAGATACAGATACAGATACAGATACAGATACAGATACAGATACAGATACAGATACAGATACAGATACAAATTCAGATACAGATACAGATGTGATTGTTCCTTTTTAAGTCTATTATCGTCATCATTATAATAATTATCGGTTGAGTGGACGGCCCTTTCCCTTGGGCCACACTCCTTTCCGCCCTGGCCACGCGCTTCTCATGCAGTTTTATTTCCACACACTTAACGTTAATTGTTGTTGTTGCTGATGCTGTTGCTGCGTTGGTGGGCAGTGCCACGCCCCGCGGCTGCTCACCTGCTCGACGGTGCACTTGACAAAAGAATCTCGAGGCGTTTTCAAAGACGTCGTCGCCATTTTTAATTGTAACTGTAATTTAGCCATTGTGTTTCAACACTTTTGATGACGCAGCATCACTTGCTCTTCCTCTCCCTCTCTCTCTTGCTCTCTCTCTCTCTTAACAAGCCAAGGTGTGTGCAGGTGTGTGTGCGTGTGTAGGCAGAGCTGTGGCCTCTTGGCGTGGGTGCACGCGTCGTGTTCTTTGGCTCAACTTGAAAATGTTATTTTTAGCATACAAATTGCGTGAAGGCTTCCACTCGCTATGCCTTTCTCACTCTCTCACTCACTCTTTCTCTCTCTTTCTGTCTCTGCTTTCAGATTGCCATCTGTGATGATTACAGCCTGCCTGTAGACTTTGTTAAGAAACGACCGTCCAGTTTCGATCCCTGCCTGGCCGAGGCAATACCAACGAATCCGGAGCATTGGATAGCGCCAAGTCCACAAACTGAATTTGTAAGTACAACTGAATCATGAACTAGTTCCGCAAGCAGAACGCTTAATTAAAATGACTGTTAATTGTTCCAAGTGCGGGCAAAACTTAATTCCAAGCTGTCTTAAGAAGTTATTGAACCGAATCAAATGAATTTACTAGAAAGCTTTGACCAAATACACACTCACACTGACGTAAGATTTTTGAAGGAACCAGTATCGCAGCTTGACTTCAAAAATGTCTACGAACCAGTTCGTAAACTTAAGCAAATGAACGATATACAAAACTTCGACAAAAAACAATCACGTGCGACATTAAAGAGAACCAATATCAAAGCTTGACTTAAAAAACATCTTAGAACCAGTTCGCGAACTTAACTTAAGTAGCTTTCTGGAAAGAAGTGAAGGTTTGCCAAATTAATGCCTTGAGGTACGAACATACGAACTAGTTCACGAACCAAGAATATCACAGCAAATGCAAACAAGTTTACGAAGCGAAACAAACAAATTTCCTTGCTTAAGGCAAAACGAGGTCTATACCCATATCTTTTAGATGTTATTAAGAACTGATATATATACAAAATTGTCTAAATACAGTGAACGCCTTTTAAGAAGAACGTCTCGTTTCCGTTCGCTCTCAATAATTTATTAATATCTCTAAGTTGACAGCTCTGAATGTATTTCAATTCATAATTAGACTTTAAAGGTAGTCAAGAAGGGTTACTAAAGTTAGACAAAATATATCTATAATTATTAATTTTAAGACTTAAAAGCAAAGCAAAAAAATGAACCAGTTCGTGAACTTGCTGTAAAATGCATGCAAGCCTGCAAATGGGCAGCATTAAAGCTTTAAGTGCGCATTTGCTGTGGATAAATCTTGGCTATAGACAGACTCTGCATCAGTTGGGGCTGGAGCTGGAGCTGGGGCTGGAGCCAGCGGGGCTTGCATTGGTAAAAAGCAATTAACTGCCCTCGGGCAGCTAATTGATAAACTGCACGCACCAACGACAACAACGTCGACGACGACGATGACTATGACAACGGCGAGAAGGAGGAGGAGGATGAGGAGAGGCAGGGGAGGCAGGGTGGGACAACGTCAGGCGCATCAGCAATGCGCTAATGAAAAGCATGAAAAGCATTTTCCTCATTTTCTCGCATATTTGCCAGCCTTTTGATTATTTAACCGGCACGAAACAAAGCGGCGCTCAAACAATGCACAAGTCTATTGGCTAAATATTGCAAAAAAAAACAGCAATGCCAACCCACACCACCCCCCTCCCTGCCCTCGCCCACTCCCCCAAACAGCCGTTGCCCAGCGGGTGGTCAGCCATAAAAAAGCTGAAACTGGCCTCAGCCAAAGCCATAGATACTAAGTATTATGAAAACAAAAACAGCCCGAGGCAAGGGCAAGGGCAACGCTCAGGGAAAGGGGAAAATGGGGGAAAGGAGGGTCGGTTGGGGGCATGTTTCGGAGCCTGCAGCAAATGTTGCCACAAATCAAATGGCGATGCTGCCCCGCGCCAAAAAATCTCGGCCCGTTATCTAGAGAGTCCGCAGAAAAAATGTTACGTTTCGGGGCGGAGTTTGGAATTTCAGTTTTTATGGCCCCATACGAAATATATTTTCTTCCTATATTGTTTTCCCTCTACTTGTTGTTGTTGTTGTTGTTGTTGTTGTAGTTGCCATTGTTGTTGTCCTGGCTGCTGTTGGTATTGTCCTTTTGCATATTGGTCGTAAAGTGAAAGCGAAAGCAACTGCTGCGCCCCGCATGGAGGCGCATAAAAAATGCTGCCTGCCACTTGAATTTCTTTTTATTGAAATTTGTTTAGCCGCAAGCGGCCCCAGCGAGTGTGTGAGTGTTTGAGTGTGAGTGCATGAGTGTGAGTGTGAGTGTGAGTGTGCGTGTGTTCTGAATGTGGCTCGCAATTGCGCAGCAAATGTTTTCATTGGCTTGCAGATTGCGGCGCTACTCAGAGCTGAGCAATTGGCGCAATGCTCACAAATATTCATTGTTGATTTAAGCTAACTGTGACTAACGAATGCCTGTGAATAATGAATGGCAAGCGAATGAAATGGTCATGGTATTCACGAAGGGTCGCTTCGATCAAAATAATTCATTATCCAATTCTGCTTTGCATTGTATTCGCAAACGTTTCAATGCCTTCCGACTTTATTTTCATTTGTATTCCATTATCTATTACTTTTCACATATCGATTTCTGTTTGCATCAGCATTTATATATATCTGCTTTGATCTATGTCTCTCTTTCTCCCTCACTCACAATTTATGCCTTCTTCCTTGTGCTGCTTTCGTAAATATTTAACCGACTGCCTGCAATTGCTTGCACCGAATACCTACAGTTCTTGTTAATGCCGCATTCGTGAATATATTACTGACCTACTCTTGGTACTATCGTGTGTCTTATGACTTATGCATAAACATTTCACTGGCTACATGCTCTGCTTTCCTCTCTCTCTCTCTCTCCCTCTCTTTCTCTCTCTCTGCTTTTGTAAACGTTTTACTGTCTGCTTATTATGCTCGGCTTTGCTTGCTTAGATACAGGTATTGTATCAATTCTTCTTAGTGTCGCATTCGTAAATATATTACTGACCTACGCTTATCACTGGCGAGTGTCTTATTGCCTATGCGTAAACGTTTCACTGGCTGCTGAACTTTTATGCTACACATTGACGTAGTTTGAATACTCAAGTAACATCACTGTTTCATATGCATTCATGCACTCATATGAATACTCGCTTGTGCGCTTTGAGTAATCACATGTTCGAATGCATCTGTTAGACAGTTCGAAGTGGACCTTTGTGCGCACAACCGCTCTCTACAACGCCACCAAGCCGATATTCGCTCAATAGGCCGCCTTTCCAAATATATTTTTTGAGTGCCTGCGCCTTTTACTTGCCAACCTGTTCCCCTCGGCCCCACGCCCCTAGACTGCACTCGCTTTGAGCCCAGCCAATGGCCCAAAGCGTTAACGTTTAGCGCCTCTTTAGCTGGATTCCATGTCCTTTGGCTGCCTGCTGCTGCTCAAATAACTGCCCTCCATCTCGCTCGCTCTCCCTCTCACTCTCCCCCTCACTCTTTTGATGTGCTTTTACTGCTGTGCTCCTCTGTTATTAATGTAATTTTATCTTTACTTTTGTTTTGCGTAAACAGCCGCGACGCGTGTCCACATATAAAAGCTGCAGGCTAGCTGTGCGTGAGTGTGTGTGTGTGTGAGTGTGTGTGTGCCATATAAATGCTGGCTCTGTTTTTCCTGTTTGTTGGCGTTGTTTTCTTCTTTTTTTTTTTTGGTGGCAACTCACGTTTTAATGGCAACGCGCGCGACATTTTTCGATATGAAAACGTTGGCAACCGCCTCCCCCGCTCTATTCTCACCCAACCCCCTCTTCCCCTACCCCTCCCCTCTAGCCCCTGTCTGGGGCTGCACTGTGAAGTGCACTTGGTAAGAGTTGTCGTCTGCTTAGCGAGCTGCTGTTTCAGCTCTTCTATTACTCTCCATGGAGTAATATCAGCGATAACTCAGCGAAATCAACACGGCACACAACAAAAGCCACGTGTGTGTGCGAGTGTGTGTGTGTGTGTGTGTGTGTGTGTGTGTGTGTGTGTGTGTGTGTGTGTGTGTGTGTGTGTGTGTGTGTGTGTGTGTGTGTGTGTGTGTGTGTGTGTGTGTGTGTGTGTGTGTGTGTGTGTGTGTGTGTGTGTGTGTGTGTGTGTGTGTGTGTGTGTGTGTGTGATGTACGTGTGTTGCTGTTGTGGCCTTTTTGTTTATTTCAATAACTTGGCTGCGAGTGCCATTGTTGTTGTTGTTGTTGTTCTTGCTGTTGTTGCTGCTGACAACGTCACATATTACTCATACGTCGCTTTGTCTGGCTTAGAAATTAGAATGGCAACAAACAACTGAAATCAAAAAGTATAATAACAAATTGTAGCAACAACATCGAATTGTGTATACCCTACATTAGGTTATTTGTCCAAATTGTAAGTCAACCTATATTATTGAAGAGAACTCGCTGCGGGAGTCTTTTACAGGTCTTAAGGCCTTATTCCTAATTTGAGCCGGCAACCATTTGTAGCATATTTTACAAGCGCTTTTTGGTCTTCCTTTCCCTAAAGAACTCATCTCTCAAGTTCACTAGTTTTAAATTATTATAAATCTCTGCAATCCTCTCTATTCGCTTCGTAAGAGCTTTTAAGACATGCCCAAAATTTAAAGCTCTGATTAGTAGATAAGTTAAGTGAGGTATGTATACACAAACTTCCTTAGCTAGAGCTTGTTTAGTAATTGATCAAGTAGAGAATGGCCCAAAATCTACACTCGATTAGCTTCTCACCTGAGTAAATACTTTCCCCATAATTCCTACAACTTCAAGTTTATTTCCTTTTACTACTAAAATGGGCATAGAGGAGCGTCTGTATCGATTAGTCAAATGTGAAACATATCTGAGCTCGCTTTCTTGGTGTATATACGCATACATTGATTTCTTGCGTGTATAATTATAATAATATATCTGATTTCAATCAATGTCTATTAATAATGCATTCAAAGGTCCCTCGTCAACTGAAAGATGTGGTTATAGAACAAATTTAAGATTTGCAGCACTTTCAGACTAAAACATAATTCTGTATAAACAGGCAAACATTTTATTTGAAATTTGTCAGAATAAGCAAATAAAATAGAAAATGTTTGAGACAGGCATTTATATATGCTGATTCTTACTTCTAGAAGTTTGTGTGACTCTCTGAAGAATCTGCAAACGAAATTTACTAGCGCCTGCTCTTCCAGTTCCCGAGTTCGTTGGGATAGTATATAAATTATGCCGAAATATTTTTATTTTAAAATCCCTTGTTGCCAACTCTTTTGCTGCTTCCGGCCAAGTTTCGTATTTCCATCAAAAGTTTGAAGAGTTCAGACTTTGGGGAAACGGTTGCCGAACAACAAAGTTATGATACCCTATGCAGAGCAAATGCAAGCAATCGTCATAAGCATTAGGCAGACATGGACGTGGAGACAGAGCTAGAGATAGAAAGAGCAGGACAGGGGGGGGAGGGAGTGTGGATGAGTGCATGGTCGGGATAAAACAGACAGGAATTGCGAATTGTGTCCTGCGCAACGTTTAAAAATGGAAGGAAGAACGACAGCAACAACAACAACAACAGCAACAACAACAACAACAACAACAACAACAACAACAACAACAACAACAACAACAACAACAGCAGCAGAGCTAGAAAGCTCTTTGGTTTTGCTTTCAAATCAACATCGTCATCATCATCATTATGCTCATCATCATCAAACATTATCATCAGCCGCAACATCATCTGGCAACGTTTTCATTAACGTGCGCATAAAAATCACGTTGCTCCGGCAACAACAACATCATCAACAACAACAACAACAACAGCAACAACAACGCCAACAATGTGCACAAGAAGTAGAAGTAGAAGGTGAAGCAGCACAAGAACAACGACCGTTAGACATTCGTCTAACCATTTTGATTGTAGTTTGTCTAGCCTGCAACCCCCCCCTCCCCCACTCCTCTAACCACCCTCCCCTTAAACTGCTCTGCCGTGCCGACTCCCCGCACCAATTCAGGCGCGCTTCCCCCTCTCTCGATTGATTGGTAAACACATTTTTGTGGGCGGGGCCAATCGAGTCGTGTGTATAAAATCCCCGTATGCCGATAATCAAGGGCAAATATTTAAAGAGCAATATGTGTGCACAATATGCGAGCAAAGATTTCAATTCAAAGTCCCCAACTCCAGCCCCAGCACCAGCCCCAGAGCGAAAGAACTAGAGATGACAGCGGGCTTAGGAGAAAGAATGAAAAAAACTATCGCAACGCACTTGATTTTTACTTCTCCTTCTTAAAAACTGATCTTTGAATAATCCGATTCTTGAGGTTCAGCTTCATTTGAATTTTTGTTTGTGAAAAGTGTTGGAAAACATCAAAATATCCATTTAAGATAAAACATATGCGAATACTGGAATAGTCAAAAAAGGAATAGTTATTGGGGATTTTCATTATAAATATTAATAGTCTTCAAATATTTTCTTTCTACAAGTCAAATTTGCTGAAACTTAAAAAGTTGCATCTACAATTTTGAGATGGCACTGAAAACTTGCTCATCTCTAAATAAAAAGCACTTACGGACGGAAGATCAACCCCAATATCAATATGCCATTTGTTAGAGGTGTGTGTGTGTGGGTGTGTGTATTTGTATTGGCTTTGCATTTATGAGTTTTGAATTGAGTTGAGTTCTCAGCAGTGCTGGCAACCTGAGCTCAAACAATGAGCAAGTGAGGGGCTGGGCTTTAAAGGGGGGGGGGGGGGCAAGAGGCGAGGTGCATATCGTATTTTATTTAGCACTGTATTGGTTGTGCGAGTGTCTGTGTGTGCCTCGTTCAGTCGATAAGCAGCAGCAGTTGACGCTTAATTTATGAGTTTCAATTAAAAATTCCTTTCAATTTCAAGTCCGGCAACAATAGCCAACAGTGCTTAGCGTAAGCCTCCCCCTCCCGCTGCTTTCCTCTCCCTCCCAGTATGCTGTTGTTATGGCATCAATTTCCGCATGCAACATACACTCGCCTTGCAGCGCAAATTTATGTTTAACAATAATGCGCATATTTACGAGCAGCCAGCTCCCCCCTTGCGTCTGCACGCCTCTACGCCCCTGCCCAGGCACACTCTCGAAAGAGGCGAATCTGCCCGCCCATAATGTGTGCACATTAGGGACACGTTAATGTCAGTTGTTGCCGTTGTTGTTGTTGTTGTTGTGCGACCTGCTGTTGCAGCTCTGTAATGTGCAGCTATTTGTCATCGTGTGTCGGACGCTGTCCTTGCAAAGCTCCTCAATTGGAAGATGGACAACGGCAGCTGAACCAAACCGAACGGAACCGAACCGAACGGAGCTGAACGGATCGGAACTTTGGCTGGAGGCGGAAGGTGCCGAGCTCAGGGAACATGCTTTCTGCATTATGTTGCTGTGTCGAGCAGAGATTGACAGATGGAGCAAATTAATAAAGACATAATTGAATGATGACTGGACCTTGCATCAAGGTCTCAAGTCCGTACATTGGTTGGCTAGGAATGCGTATTAATGTCAATTTATATACAAATATTAACATCAATATGAGAAAAACAAATCTATAATTATAACTAATAATAACTTTATAAAGCAATACATAATATATTTTGAAAATATTCCAAAGAGTTGTATTTTAGAAATATATATCGCAAAGAGTTATATTTTCGACTTGTTTTATCCACAGTCGAAACTCTTACTAAACAAAAGCTTTCCTAAATGGAATAAGCTTTCTTGCACAAAAACTAGTTCTCGATCTGAACGTACTGACAAATAAGATAACATCAAGAAGTTCTTAAGTTTTAAGATTGTTTAGTTCCCAACTAATTTGATCAGTTTTTATTTGTTATCATTAACAAACATGAAAATACATGAGCATTTTGATTCAAATTAGTTTTCGTACCAGTATTTTCAGTGTTGGGCAACAAGATTCAAATGTGTTGACATATTTGCAACAGAGAGATCTTCTATGCAATTCTCAGAGCTCAGTTTATGCAATTTATGCAACAGACCAGTAACTGGCAATTTATGGACATGTAATGCAATATGCTTAACCACTGAAAAATCAGTGCAAGTTCACTATGAAAAGCAACTAGTTTGCATTGTGGGAAGGTGGGCGACATTTGGCTGGGCTTGCCTGTCTCTTTGTGGTGGAGGAAAACCTAAAAGCGCTTAACGAGTTGGCACCGTAACACACACACACACACACACACACACACACACACACACACACACACACACACACACACACACACACACACACACACACACGTGCCGAGGCATACCACAGGTCACGCCCACTGGCCATCGCCCACATGACGCACGCACAAATTTTAATTAAACGCCGACAAATTGGAATTGAAACGCAAATCAAATTAGTCGCAACCACATTGCAATTGCCACAGCAACAACAACATACAAAAAAACAAAAAAAAAGTGAGAAAGAAAATACAAAACGTTATCTCATTCGCTTTTTGCATTTTCCCTTCTACAGCTGCCATTTAACGAAGCCCAACAAGCGTCGCAGCAGCAACAGCAACAGCAGCAGCAGCAGCAATCGACAGCAGCAGCAGCAGCAGCAGTGCCGCCGCTGCCCGCCCCTTTGGCAACATTGCCCAGTCAAGCGGCGACTGCAGCGGCAGCAGCAGCAGCAGCAGCAGCTATTTTGGGCAGCAACAGCAACAACAACAACAGCAGCAGCAACAGTTGCAACAACAGCAACCAGCTACAGCAACAGCAGCAGCAGTTGCACGCGCACAACAACAACACTTTGCCAGCCGCACCGCAGCAGCAGACGCAGCAGCAGCAGCGCGCGACGCTGCAGCATCCACCGCTGCCCAACAGCAACATCAAGCAGGCATCCGTGAAGCTCATCGAGGGCTATTCCGATCCGAAGGATACACGCCACCACGCCCAGCACAAGAAGGTCTACCACAAGAAGGCCAAACGCCGCTCGGCGCCGCCGCACAAGCAGCGACAGCACCAGCAGCAGCAACAACAACAGCAGCAGCAGCAGCAGCAGCATCTGCAAACGTTGCCAACGCCGCGCGGACATCAACAGCAATTGCTGCAGCAGCAGCAGCAACAGCAACAACACTTGCTGCAACGCCATTCCACATACAATAATAATAACGGTAATCACAAGAAGGACAAGCGCAGCAGCCATTATAATTCAGGTGAGCAACAGCAGCAGCAGCAACAACAGCAGCAGCAGCAGCAGCAACATGTTGCTAATGAGCGAGCAATATGAAGTAAAGTAGACAAACAAGTAGTGCATACTTTTGGGCAGCGGGTTTTAAATAAATGCTGTGACTGATTGAATGACTGACTAACTGACAGACTGACTGATTGATCAATGCTAGGACCCAGTTGTCTAGGAAACTGAAAAAGCTAAATGCTAAAATGTTTATAATTAACGCAAAAATGGAGTTCGGAAAAATGCACACCAAAAATGTGGAAAATTGATGAACGCCTAATATTTCATTACCAATCCAACTGCATTTCCCTTGTGGAAACTTCACTGAAAACCGCGTTAGCATTGGATAAAAATCAAGCAAGATGCAATTGTTAGCTTTAAAAATGGCAAAAAAAAAAAAACAGTGCAGACTGCCAGGCGGCGGCAACTAAAAAATGCTAAAAGCTAAATAAATAAATTTCTAGCTATAGCTAAAAAACAGCAACAGCGGCTGGGCAGACAGGGGCGTAGCTATGTTAGGTTCGTGAGAGGTAAAGGGGGGTGCGGGTGGTGGCATTAACATTACGAGCTAGTGGCAATTAGACGCACTTGGCGCACAGCTCGAACTGCGGCTGCAGGGATCAGCCAGGCGTTAAATGGCAACTGGCAGCCATTCGACTGAGACTCGCCAAGCGAGAGAGAGAGAGAGAGAGAGAGAGAGAGAATGGAAGAGTGGAAGAGAGAGAGAGAAAAGGAGAAACGCATTGCCGGGCAGCCAAGCGCCTAATAGACTGCGACAGAGACGCGCCAAAAGTAACTGGAAGGATGGGCGCCAGCTGGCAAGGACTGCTGCGACCTGGCCTTTGGCTCATTTGCCTGGCGACTCAATTAACTGCGGACAAGCTGTGCTTATTTCTAGCGGGCACTTGACTGTAATTCCTTGTAATTATAAACAAAAACCTCAGACTGGCAGCTGGCTAAATTGTTCTTGACAGTTTGCACATCTTCCTTTGGCATTTAACCAAACAGGCTAGTAGATACATATAAACACTTGCTGCGCTTCCTCTAACCTTCTTCCTATGCTATCTAAGGAAAATGCATTCTTGAGTAACTTTGCTGTTGAAAGTTCGATCCTTGTGAAATTTTCAAGACTTAAATCTAGCACTTAAATGCGAGAGTATACCAAGGCGCAAGAAGCTAGCTTTATAGATACGATTTCTGATAGTTGTGTGTGAAAAGGGTGTAGATATCAAAAAAGTGAATTATTGCTAATCTGTATGAGCCATACGAGAGGCTACACAAAAAGTTTGGTGCATGTAACTCCTAGAATTCTCGAGTTATGCTTAGCAAAACAATTACTCAAAATCGATATTTATCGAAATAATGGAAATTGGAGTAAGCTATCGATAGGAAAAGGTCAACTTTTAAGCTTTAAGGACGATACATATATTAACTTTTGTAGTTTTCAAGATACAGCTGGGCAGACATAGCTAGCATATACTCAATCCGTTCAGCTCGAGAATATATATATATACCTTAAAAGATCGGAGATCCGTCTGCCCTTCATAACAGGAAGTTACATAGATCTTCATATAGTAAAGTAAAGTATAGTATAGCTGAGTATTTGGATAACAGAACTTGATCCCAGGGAAGAAGTTGTGGGTGGGAAATGATATGCACAGATTTAATCAAGTCGTATTTTTGCCTTTCAGATTCCTCGGCGCCCAAATCCTCCGACGAGGAGGCGGACATAGACGAGGAAGTCGAGCGTGCCGCGCCGCAACTTCCGGCAGCAGCAGCAGCAGCAGCTGGTCAGGCAGGAGCTCTGCTCAATTCGCCGGATAGCATATCGGATGATCTGGTGCGACCGCTGCCGGCGCAGCTGCAACGCAGTCCACGCAAATTGACCGTTGCACAGACGGAGTACAGCAAACGTCAGCCGTCGCCCTACTACTACTCGGATCTGCTGAAGAGCCGGGACAAGCAGCCGGAGGCCAAGGACAGGGAGCCGGACAGCAGGCAGACGCTCGACCGCGAGGCGAAGCAAAAGTGCCGCCAGTCGACGGCCAGTGAGCCGCCGCAGCAGACGCAGACCCAGCTGCTGGGTGGGTATCGCAAGAGCAGCAGCTTGGATGCGCCGCAGCAGCAGGAACAGGAGCAGAACAACGACGACCACGAACAGGAGCAGCAGCAGCAACCGGAGCACGAGCAGGAGCAGGAGGAGAACGAGAACGAAGCCAACGAGCTTGAGGAGATCGGCTTAAACGAACAGTCAACACCGAAACGATATAGCTTCACGGAGGAAGGCGTACGGATCATACGCTGCGAGACGCCGAGCACAAGCACCTCGGAGGAGTCCGACTGCAGCGAGTGCCTCAAGCGACGCGAGTGGCACGCCCGGGCCTTGGCGCTGGTCCGCAAGACGTGCAACGTCCAGCCGCGCAGCCAACAGTTGCCCATCGGCAGCGGGGAGGGGGAGCTGCAGCTGCAGCTGCAGCACTGCGACGCCGGCGAGGGGGAGCTGCTGAAGAGCTGCCCAACGGACTTGGCCTGCGAACCGAGTTGCGGGTCGATGCCGCCGCACCGCCTGCTGGGCCCAGCAGCCGTGTGCGGAGCCTGCATACCGACGCCCGGCAACAATAGCCAAGGCCACATTGGCCTCGCCGCCGATGAGCTTGACGAGCTCGAGGAATACTTTCGGCCACGCAGCATCTTCTATGTGCATCCGCATGGCGTGCACGAGTGCATCGAATGTGCGCCCGCCAATCACACCAAAGCAAACACAGATCCAGCCACCAATTGCAGCGACCCAGCTGCGCTAGACGAGCAGCAGCAGGAGGAGAGGGCAGGGGAGCAAGAGCAGGAAGAGGAGGAGGAGGGGGAGGGGGAGTACGACTCTGACAACATGGCCAGTCGACGGCGACAAATCTATGAGACGGCCTTCGATTGCAAAATAGCCAAATCGGATGATGACCTGGACGAAGTGGATCGCATCACCAACCACTCGGTGCTGCTGCAGCTGAACGGCAATGGGAACGGGAACGAGTTGACGCCGCCGCCGTTGTCCAAGCCAAGTCTCAGCAAATCGCGACTCGAATGCAAACGCGCCAAGAAT